CTAAAATATTGTGAATAACAACTTACTGAACTGTCAGCAGAAATAATAGCAATGAAAGGTGCACAAAAGTGATTCTAAAGAGAGACATTGGTGAATAAATTTGAACAGAATGTTATAAACATTGGTTTTTTGTTCAGTAAGTACACTACAAGTCAAATATTTCACAGTCGTTACCTTAAAGAACTGTTTGCTTATTTCACGGTGAAACCGAATTTTAATATTTGAAAAACGCCAATTAATCTTCAATTTTTGGCAGAGATTTCAGTAAAGTATCTTTAGAAAATAATATGTACTCGTGTTTTAAATCACTTCTTTGTTGCATTAATTTGGCCTTAGGGTAAGCGCACTGTTTGACCGATTTTTGATATCGTGTTTTATTTACAAATCACTTTGCATCATGCGTGTCTAATGAACAACCATCAAAACAATTTGCTGTCAAAACAATAATAATATGGCGGTAAATAAGTCATTTTTTTCGTCTTCGGAGATATTTCATCAAATTTTCAGTGGATTTTAGTTTTTAAAAATAATTTAATGAACTGATGCTGTTGTGTATGTATATTTATATTTGAAATTAAATTTTTATGCTACCAAAAGTGGTATATTGCTATAAGCTTCCAGAGGACATCCTTCTATGATTATCTTTCTAGAGGCTATAAACCCAGTCCCCCTATGTTGGGGAAACTTTTATCTGTTTTTGGGAATTTCAGAGAAGCCGTTATAGAAACGTTTGGATAACGGCATAAAAGCTTCAAGATTTCCCCAGATTTGGGAAAGTTCCCCAATATTTCGCCAAAACGTTGGGGAAAGCCCCAAAATCGGGAAACTGGGAAGTCTATAGTATTTATCCAGTAATCGGTATCCGTTGATTTGTATATGATTGACCAACGTTTACTCGTGTGTTAGGTGCGTTTTTTAAAATGAGTTGTCATAAGTTTCCATACAGTTTTTCCGTGAGTTTAGCTACCAAGTCGTCTGTCTTTATCTGTATTTTGTCCTTGATTTCACCTTCGTCTGTACAACAAAATAATACTTCTTAACATCATAGGGGTACGTTTCCCGAGAACTGGACAATTAAATTGATAGGGCCAGTAAACAAGTCGAAAAAATTGCGAACACGTGATTTTGTCTTTACTGTACTTTCCGATACTGACAACTATAATTATTTGTGGTAGCAACATTGAAAAACATTTACTTCTAATTAACTCCGAATTCACGCATAGATTAACGCTGTTCTATTAGTCGGAGAACCCCGTTTCTTTAAATATAAATTCCCTTATTTTCACTTATTTTCTGTGATGAGTAATGTGAGTGATATCTTGGTGTTAAAATTATATCTGGAACATTGAAGCGTACTCTTAGTGATCCCTAAATAGTCTCTGGATGTTTGTCATCCCTACAAAGCCTTAACAAAATAATTACATAGGGCACTAGAAACAATTCATTATAATTTACCCTAGTGGTTTGTATAAAGTTCTAGCCATTACACCGATTTTCGTAAGGCTTTATGGCAGCTCGTTTCTCAACCAGCAGTTAGGGGTGGTTTCCTTAACATTTTTCGTGCTTTTATCCCACTAATTTCTACTTTCTTGAGGCGTATCGTTGATGGCTAGTCTTTTCAATCACCATTTATACTGTTACCACCTCTACGATTCTAGTTTTCGGCCTGAGACTTTCATTTCTCTGTCAGCTAGTCAGTAAGCTACAACGTAGGACCAGGCACACCTATACGCCGGTTTAAGTTGTTATAGCTCATTATCACAAGATGGACACCGAGTTCATAGAAGTAGCTACTTCATTGGTAGTAATATATAAAAGAAAGATTGGAGAAAGAATTAATTCCTAGAAAGAGAGTTATAAAGTAATTTTAATCTCACAGTGTAAGGGAAGACAAAGAGTGTATACACCGGCACCATTTTGATCGGTTCTGAGCAATGTTACCCAGCGTCTCCAACCATCTCTGTGCTAATGGGGTATAGCAGCTTGAACCAATAAACATACTCTTCAGTTTCTACGTTTTGTCTGGCTGACCAGATAACTCTCTACGTTTAACCCCAGTTCTGACGTTCTCTTTTTGACCTGAAGCGTAGTTGAAAATTAAATTTCATTCAACCTTTTGAATACAGATGAAAGTGTCTCAGATATATTTCCTATTTCGTAAATGTAAGTCGGTATAACAAGACCAGTGTATATGCAGACATTGTTTAATGATATGAAAAATGTCCGTTTTAAAGTAAAAACTGGCATCTTTAGGTTCTTGGATAATTATACTACCACTGCATTAAAGAACATGAGTTAACGTTTTCGAGAATTTCTATATTTTGAACTTTGTACATGTATCCCAATTAGTTGCTACAGGATAAGCTAACGATTCACGTCTGCCTTTCAGAAAAGAAGAAAAGTGAGAAGTTTCTGAATCACACGGATGAATCTAAATAGAGGATTTATGCTTGGTGTTCAGAAGCTTTAACAGATGATCCTTCAAAATTTTTTGTGGTAAGTCGAATATTATATAATTTTGATATCTTATGTACAATTAACTCAAAATAAAGTAGCTAACGCTTGACCGAAACATAATCTTTCCAAATTAGGCAAAAGGTGTATTGATAAACGTGCTTTTAGCTAATATATTAAATATGACTGCGATGTATTTGACAGTGTGCCTCACAAATTTCGTATTAATTATAAACATTCCACTGCAACTTTCCTTTTCTAAGGAGTTAGTCCCCTTACATGCTAACCGGGTGTTAAATACTTTTTATTGGTGTATGGTATGATTTAAATGGGTGCTATTCTGAATATTGTAAGTGAAAATGTCTGTTCTGTTTTATCCGTGGCTTACGAAAAGTAGTGAGCTTTTTATGTAGTATAACTAACTAAATATTAAGATCATCACTGGCGAAAAAAATCCTTATTAAGATTTTAAGTCTCACCCCATCCGTCGGTTTGTTAATTAGCTTGTCGTCAATATGTTCCTCTAATGCAGTACTTATCTCCGCTCTGTTACAAAACTATGACATTACTGTCGGAGCTAATCAGAATTAAAACTCTGAGTACTATGTTTAGTTGGTTTGCCTGCAGTGAGAATCTATGATGAAAGCTGCAAGTCGCTTGTTAAATTTGCTTAGCCACACTATCTACGATCATTCCATCATGCACGGCCGCAACATGAAATACGATGTTAGCCGAGGGTATGTATCACACATAGGATCGAAAGCCTTTATAACCTCGTTATAAGTAAATCAGTTTGATAGATCTCTCTGAACTGAAGACGTTTTCTCTCAGATGAGACCTTATTACGCCCGATCCTGTGTTAATTGTGCTTTGTGGTAAACTTTCATTGGGTTCCTCAACTCCTCTGTATTTCAGTGTCTTCTGAGTTTCCACATATCCATCCTTTTCTGACAAAAATCACTGTGACATTTAGAGAAGGAAAAGTACTTGCTGAGGTCAAAATTCGCTTTTCGTTCTTACCCCTTAGAGCTGGTAGACTCAATGAAACAAGTGAATTTGAGTCTTTCCTGGGCTCTAAACTATAAAGGGAAGTAATTTTCTTACTACGCGTCTTAGGGATTTACTCAGCGATGCAGTGCAAAACGCTTTTAACCACATTGAGATCCAGTCACTTGATTTACTCCTCTGGGTACATATCAATTTTAGCGAGGATGTGTAATCTTGGACTTCATTCATTCACTTGGAAAAGTTGTTTTTACTGAGTGGCTCCAGCTCAATAATTTAGAAACTAGATTTCCAACTAATTCGTTATGACTCATGATTGGATATATAACAAACAGTAGAAAAACATCATTTTTGCTGCTGTTCAGACTCCTTTTGTCCATTTGGTAAACTGGCGAGTATAAACATCGCATGCGTAGATTCATATACCACCTCAAGGTCAAGCGAGTAGGTGAGAAATTGCGAACGAGGCACGTTACTGAAGGAAGTCAATTATGTAGACAATCAAGGTCGGATTGTATATCCTTGTCTGAGTTGGAATGAAAATCATATGTATAACTACAATTAATGTAGATTATGATTCACTTTTGCAAATAAACCTTCCTACTCATCTTCATTTTTTGTTTGCATAGTGAGTTTGTAGAATGTATGCATCGTATTGAGCCGCAAACCACAACATATTTATTCTTTCATTGTATCCCATAACTTTCGAAATAGATTTCACCTCAAATGTATTCATACTCTTAGTATGGGTTATGGAATTACATTGTGTCATGTGTTAATGTTTATTAGAATCATATATTGCTTGTATAAAAACAACTGTTTTTATTTTATTTCCATTTAGAGCATTTAATCAAAATGAAACTGGATATAATACTGATTACAGTTTTTCTGAAACTCTTACCAATCTACTGCACTCCTACGGAGCCTGTAATATATGGCATTCTCCCAGATATCTATAATTCAATCACTGATAATATCATTGTACTTCCTTCAAACAAACCTGTTCATCTTAGTATGTTTGGCTTGAAAATGGATTATATTAGTCATATTGCCTTTGCTTCAGTTAAAAAACCACGTAATTCTTCATGTGAACACGAACGTGTAACTAGTTCATTTGATGCTTTGCCAGAAAATTCTTTTGTCAGTACCAGCATAATTAGTCTACGCGAGTTGTCCACTAACGAGGTCGCTTTTTTTCTATGCATTCGTGTCACTCCTACTTCATTACCGAAAACTGACTCTTCTCCAAATCATACCAATATTGATGGTAAATGGATTTTTGCTGGCGATGGTGGTGGTACTGACAGTGTATCGGATTATCGTTTATCATTTCGAACTACAACTACTCTCATGCCTTTATGGGTTCAAATAATTTTAATTATATTATTATTTTTTCTTTCGGGCTTATTCAGTGGTTTAAATTTAGGTTTAATGTCTCTTGATAAAACTGAATTGAAAATTATTGAAAGCGCTGGTTCACACAATGAGAAAAGTTACGCAAAAGCTATTCGCCCTGTACGAGAAAAAGGAAATTTATTATTATGTACACTTTATTAGGTAATGTTCTTGTTAATACTTCATTAACAATTCTAATGGATGATTTAACTGGTAATGGTTTGTTTGCTGTAATTGGATCTACAATTGGTATTACATTGCTTGGCGAAATTATGCCGCAAGCTGTATGCTCACGTAATGGATTAGCTATCGGTGCTAAAACACTTTGGTTAACAAAATTGTTCATGTTGCTTACATTTCCTATTGCATTCCCTATAAGTTTTTTATTGGATAAAATATTGGGTGAAGAAATCGGTCAAGTATATAGTAGAGAAAAACTTGGAGTTCTTATACGTGAACAAGTGAGTTGTTTAATATTGTAATACTTTTTAAATATATATATATATATATATATATATATATATATATATATATATATATATAACAAATACGCGAACCAGATTCATAAAACCTTTATTTTACAAGACCTAAAACATATTAATTTTTATCAACATGCTCGTCAGTAAAATTGTCACATCTCTGTTCGTATTGTTCAGAACGCTATTGCTAATCCTCTTCGAAGTTAAAGTCATCAACTATCTCATCGTCTTCATATTTTCTAAATGTCGTATCTGAGTGAGTAGTTTACATTTCAGGAGCAAAAACAAATCCGAAGAGAGAGGGGGTGATTTAACGTAATGATGGTAGAACTTTGAGCCTGAAGGTGTGGAATAATCACCACTAGATATACAGGTGCATCCTCTTGATGGAAAAACCATCTATCAACATTAAACAAATTTATTAACATATGGTCTAACATGTTACCTATATAACTAGCCCACAACACTTCATGGAATGTTAGGCGGTTGGAAGCAATCGCCAGTAAACTCTAGACCTTAGTCACGTGCTCGTTCTCTCTCACCGGCAAAAGTTGTCTTCAGGGAACTGGTTATTTCTAGTGAATTCGAAGCTCTATCACTTAACTTCATAGTCTGAGATGTTACAACAGCCATTTGGGCTTCAGTTGACCTTTCGAACCTAAGTGTTTGTGGGCGATTGGTTGTTGAGTAATGCCATGTTTATCTAGTATTTTGTAGCTGACCGAATTCTATTGACTAACATTCAGAGTTCCTTACCAACTACGTCCATCAACTAAATATCTCAGCATAGTACGTGTGATGCCGAATCATTCAGACTAGCTGTCACATAGCGATTTGATCACAGGAATCCGATCAGCATTAAAAGACTTGACAAACATGAAACCAATCACTACTCAATTACCAATCAACTGCAAATTTGTTGAATGTAATAAGGCCTGTTCCCAAGTTTCACTTAAACTTTAGTAACTCAAACCATTTATTGAAGGAACCACATACATGTACATAAGTTTTTCGAAAGTCATATGAGAAACCAACTTTCAAGTTCACTAATTCAGAAGCAAGATAGTAACTCGTTGATAAGTTTAGCTGAGGATTGCACATTATCGCAATTTGACTGAAATTGAAGATATAAATCATTGAACTATCAAATTAATAGTCTACATAAATTATGGTCTTACAGATATAAAAAGGTTATATATCATGAATAAATAAAAAAACTAAGTCACTCAATTGTTCAATGAGTACGATGGGTTCAAGATCCCATAATGAACATCATCCGTGAAATGCTCATCTCGGGTTCTACTACTAATAACATTTCATCTAATTTATAAAACAAAAAACTAAGATTTTGTTTTGGAAATATTTTTGTTACATTAAATAACTTACCGTTACTAAGAGAACATACTCTTAGTTATAAGTGTATTATTGTTTTTAGGGTTAAAAACAAACTAGATTGCTTAAGGATTATAATTTAAACAAAAACAATAAACAGGATTATGAATGATAAAATGTTGGAAAACAAAACTTAATACTGTAAAAGGTTTCAGTTTATAAAAACATAAAGGTAGAAAATTGGAAGTTTAATTTTGAGCATAATTATATATGAAGCTGTTATGAAGCATTTAAGTGGTGTTTCACCTTTGACAGGTTGATACAAAAGTCAGTTAATCAATTAGAAAATAGTGAATGTAGAGTTTGTAAACTATTTTTGTGTCTTAGTAAATTCATCGTTCTGAGTGACAGGAAAAAATCGAAATAATTATCAAGTAATTTAACGACTGTAATGAAATTATGTTGAATCATTTGACACACTATAAAGTAGAGGATAGTTTTAATTCAACTAATCTAGTGGTATACGAAGGCCAGAAAATCCTGTGGTAGAACATATTTATAATTCTTCAAACCTTTTTCAGAAGCTCATACTCTTTGCTTAGATAAGAGTTAACTGTTTGTATTAATAGTATTTTTGCTTCAAGCAAATAAATACAATAGCATCAACCTTTTAACATTTGAATAGGTGACTCCTCATTGAAGTACCTAAAATATTATTATTTAACATTCACTCAATAGTGAAAACGTGAAATAGTACTAATCAGTGCTCATGATTAATTAAGAATCATGAAAATGTTTAATAGAGGTTCACCACGAGATCTGTCGAACATGGGGGGGGGTTGTGAGTATGCACTGCAACTGTTAAGTGCTCCATAAGTTTTATTAGTATGTCAAATGAGGTCAATCTGTGTTGAACATTGCTTTAAAAATACATTTTTCTATTCTATGTAAGGAAAATATACTCACAGAGGGGTTTTGTGGAAATTGTAGTAATTTGATAATTGAATTCATGAGTCAATTGAAGCTAGACCACCATGGAAAACCTGGAAACACTAGACTGATAGGTTCTGGGTTCGAATCTCGCGGGGCGGGATCATGGGTGCTCACTGCTGAGGAGTCCCATACTAGGATGAAGCGTTCGTTCAATGCTTCCAGGTTTTCCATAGTGGTCTAGCTTCAATTGACTCATGAATTCAATTATTAAAAATATACTCACTAAATAACTCACAACAGATCTATTCATTGCCTTATATATTTATTTATTTCAACACATAAATATTGGTACAAGAGGGCACCTAATATATATGCGCCACACCATATTTGTGTGTGTGGGCTGTGATACTGCCTGGGTGCCCAGACCGAAGCAAGTGGTTTTCTTAGGGGGCCACACCCCGAGCCTTTGACATAAAGGTCTAACCTACAAGGCAGTGGAGCATCGTAAAGAGATGCAATCCCATGGTATCCGGTTACCAACGATTGGTTCATACGCCATTTGTTCCCGCAGGATACTGGAGCCCATGTGCACCATTGGTTTGGAATCCGGTTAAAGCGCCGGATATTCGCTTTTCGTCCTCTCAATTTCGTAAACAATACCCGTGATGCGAGGAGGCAGTGAGTAGGACTTCCCTGGCAGAGGCTGTATACGCGTGGTCGTGTGAGGGGATTTGAGAGGGAGGGAGGGCGGTCCCACCCCACTCTCGGCCATACCAGGGCATTTGAAGGCATGGGAATTGGTGGATCCAGTAGCAGCACGTAGAGCCAGTAGCTAAGTAGATAACGCGATGGCATTTGAAGCGAACGGAACTTGGTTCGAGTCCCGGAGTCAACATCAACTCTGGGATGCAGATGCATCCAGTTAACGAGTCCCAGATAGAACGAAACGCACTTCCTGAATTCCACTGCTAGTGGCTATCCGTCTTTGCTTGAATAAGTAGAATTTAATGTAGTAAATGAGTGTAGTCATTGCCTGTCAGTCTATGAATCTTGCTTTACATATATCAGCTTTTTCAGTCTATTGGTATCTTTAGATATCATACAAAATAATATAACTGAAAGTTGTATGAAAGAATTTGTATTTAGTTAAATGCTAAAATCAGTCAACATTCAGTTGATTGTGAAAGTTATTAAAGATTTTATTATGAAATAGAATTGTGAAGTTTATAAAATGTATTTGTCCGAATTATAACTCAATCAATTGTAAATAAGATATAATGAGTTTAGTTTTCCATTATAGAATAGATTTTATTATTATTATTGACACTTTACTAAACGAACAAATGATAAGAGCAGTTTAATTTATTGTTGCTTACTACTGAACTTACCGGAACTATTATAATTAGAAAAGAGTTTAATTTTATGTAATTTGATAATCAAGTATAGATTCACTGGTAAACTCATACGCAAACTTCTATTATTATTATTTTTTCCGTGTAAAGGTTAGAAATAACGTGTGATAGAGTAAAATTTATAGTTCTAAGTTTAATGTTTCAACTACTAATACTCACGATTCAGCGTACTTAAATGATAAGAATTCAATAGTATCATAAAGATCATTTATTGTTTATTAGCGTTTACTCTGATAGTTATTTACTCATCAATCTAGGTTACATCATTTGTATGAGTAATACAACTTATGCCTATCGGTTTTTGTAAGAACGTGAGTGACAATTACTTGCGATGTTATTCACAGTAACTGACGTTATATTGTTACTATATATAATCAAGATTTATCACATTACCATAGGAGTTCTGTGGGTACTGTTCAGTTCGAAATTAGTTAAAATGCACGAACTGACTTGAGCGAAAAAAAGCGAACCCATTTAAAATCGGTAGGTAGTCTCTGGTCAGCTGTTTAACCCTAATATTGGATTTGTATACAGGTCACACCGAAGATCCCCTTCAAAGATTGGAACCAACTCCTTCAGTGGGCGTGTTACTTCTTGTTATGTCATTTGGTCTGTCTACCCACTTTTGGTGCTGAGGGTACTTATCTAATCCAGATTAAGACCTTGGCGCGTTAGGCTGACCGACCTAACCTTAAGGCTAGTACGTGTGAGTTCGAAGTGGGTTAGAGAGAAGAAAACTATTCTACCACCTGATTGGCTGACAAGCACGCGAATAAGAGAAGACAAGACAACTGGAACACTACTCGATCTATTCCTGATATCCTGATTTTCGGATTACTGTAAAAAGGTACATGAATAAATAGGTGACTAACCCGACCACAACGTACAATAATTAGGAAAAATACAATTATGTCCAAGGCGGGGAGTTAGCGTAGAAAATAGGGTGCAAAATATTATGTTGAAATTACAATAGCTTCGGAACAGAAAAGAGTATAGCAACGAATCATACATCGAACGAAAGCTTATGTTCTGTAGAACAGATTACAGACAAAAATAAATGTTAGTGTTTTACAAGCTTTGCATAAAATGAAATAACGTCCCGAAAAATAGCTTTGGTAGTTTGTCAGGGCTTCTTGTTTCTGTTTTCACATCACTTCTAGACAAATTAGTTGACAGGTAATGTGGTTAGCACCATATCTCATGTTGAATGAATTTAGAAATGTAGGCCAATGAATTCCTGTTAGTCATCTATAAAGATGTTTTTTAAACAGATTAGGATACTTTATGTTCGTCATTAAAAAGAAGTAATTTTCTATTGTGTCTGTCCGTAGTAAGTAAATCTATCAACTGCTGAATGGTTTGCTTTTGCTTTATCTGTGTATTAACTCTACTACACTAAATTATTTTTCGCAATCCGTGATGAGTCTTTCCAATAACATTAACATGTCAGTCTTTGACTGAAATGATTATTGTGTAAAATTTCCATTCAGACATCCTGTTACCTAATAACCGTATTCCAAACTGTAACTTGTAACATACAGCCCGTCGATATTGTTATTCAGGGTTGATCGGGCGTTAGCACAAACGGATTGAGACTGAAAACTATAGATCATTCGATTCCTAATGGTTTAAAGGCATAGTCCTCTTTGACCACCTAAGACCTTTATTCTTGATCCAGTATTCGTTCGTTGTTGCGTATCTGTGACTAGTCGCTCTGACCTGAATGAAAACATCTGTTAAATGCTCTTTACCTTTTCAGCGGCATCAGTTTGCGTTACAAATTATATACAACTTGTACAACATCTCTACACAATTATCTTGATAAATAACTACTTATGATAAGTAATATAAACAATTTAAGTATACTTGTATCTAATGAACTGTATTTGAACAGAGATGGTGGTGATTATGTTTAATTTAAAAAGAAACTTAAGTGTTAGTTGAAATCGAACTACAGAACTCTAGATATCAAAGTGATCCAGCACAGTTTTAGTAAAAATGGGCTGCACTAGCAGTTAATATTCATAATGGGACTCCAACCCAATAACTTCTACTTCAAAAGCCTACACATTATTCCCTGAGCTACTTATTGCAGATAGCCAATGACTTTTTCGACAGATATGAAATTGTATGTTTACATATATCACTATTGCAATACAGACAAATTCGGCTAATGAGTCCAAATAGGAGTAAACGTGTTTTTTAAATTCCACCACCAACCAGAGTCCATCTTTTACAAAACTTGTAAATAAAGACATTATCGAGGCAATCTGTTTTATGATATACATATTCCAATGGATACTAATTAAATGGATTCCTTACTATTGACAACAGAGAAACTCAAACTTTTGCGTGCATAAATTAAACGAACTATCTAAATAAATACAAAACAGATAGAAATAATAGTAATAATCATAGTCGTATCTTTTTCATTATTTAAAATTTGTCATTATTCTTCTTCATAAATTATGATATTGTTTCATCCATTGTTTAACTTTGTTTTATTTTCTTCTTTATAAATAAAGGCATTAGCTGGAACAGTAGCAACAGATGAAATGAATATTATTACTGGTGCATTAGCTTTAACTACTAAAACTGTAGCTGATGTAATGACACCATTATCTGATGCATTCATGTTATCTTATTCAGCTAATTTAGATTTTCATACAATGAATGAAATTTTCTCAAATGGTTATACACGTATACCAGTTTATGAAAATGATCGACAAAATATTCGATCTGTATTAAATGTAAAAGATTTAGCTTTTATTAATACAGATGATAAAGTTCCAGTATCAACTGTTTGTGATTTTTATAATCGTTCAATTATTATTGTATTGGATACAACTAATTTAGGAATGATGTTAAAAGAATTTCGTCAAGGTTAGTTTAATGTTTAGCATATTTATTTTTAGATACATTTCTTGGTATAATTTATCTTTTTAACAGTTTAGGGGTTGTGGAGATTGTTAAGTTTTTGATTGAGATCATGAGTCAATTGGAGCTAGACCACCATTGAAAACCTGGAAGCACTGGACGGCCGTTTTGTCCTATTGTGGGACTCCTCAGCAGTGCGCATCCACGATCTCGCTTGCTGGGTTCGAACCCAGGGCCTATAGTTTACATCACAAACTGATCTTAGTTAAATAACCTTTGAAAGTTTGACAGCATTGAATAACTGTTTAGTCCTAGTATGAGACCTCTTGACCATGTGCACTTACGACCCCACTGGGGATTGAACTCAAGACCTTGAGGTCTCACAGGTAGTGCTTAAAATTTAGGCCACTGAGTGAGCATTCATTAGTTTACATTTTTTGCTTCATCAATTCTTCACACTTATAATATTAATAACAATAGTAATGTGCTCACTAGTTACTACTTTAGAGCCACAATTCTTGAAGTTTTAATGAAAAGGTGTGATCAAGTGGAGTTTAACTGTAGTGAGAGCGGGACTGTTACTTACCAGTAGCACTCGGTAATGGTTTCGCAATATCGCGAACCGATTGAAGTTACACAGCTAAACCACTGGATCCAAACTCAATAATCTAAAAGCTAAGTCGTCACCTGAAAGTCCTAGGTAAATTTGTGACAATGTCGTGGATGCTCATTATTCTATATTCTCGTAATAGGACTAAACATCTGATCAACGATCCCAGGTTTTCAAAGATTGTCTAACTAAATTCTGTCCGTGATATAAACTATAATATATCATTTACTTAATGTTCTCGTCTAATTATGCCTATGTATAGATAATGTAACCTATTAACTATGTTTATAAGTTTATTACGCCAACTCTAAATCAACTGTATGTGTAAAAGCTACTTAAAATGTAGCAGATATACCTTAGTGAAAAATGTGAGTATATATATATATATATATATATATATATATATATATATATATATATATATCGCTACTTTTGAAAATGTATTGCTGACATCGGATGAAAATATTATGCTGGTAATATTGAGGTTCAGCAATGTGGGTTCAAAAACAGTAATGATATAATTAGTGTTAACATCCTAAAATATTCACCTCAGTGGCTTGAAGATTTTTCAAGGATATCGTCCTAGTGGCTTCTATATTGTACATTAATGTTTGACTCTGAGACTAGGTGTAAAAAGTTCAGAGATGGTCAGTTTATAACCTGGCGCCGTGTTTTAGTAATAATAATGGCTATATAGAATTAACGTTTGCCTCTCCATCAAGACTATTTGGTTGGGATTCTAGAGACGGTGCAACCCAGTGGCTTAAAGCATTATCAGACACGGGTCAGATTAGAAACTGATGATGGTGCTACTGTAGTTTTCTTCTACATTCTCCGTAAAAACGAAAGGAAATCTTCTAATTGAAAGAAATCCTTTGTAGCTGTATTTTTACCTGAACTATGTAACCTAAGGTGCAGTATTCTAGTTTAATTTTCTTTTTTTAGTTGTATTCCCAATATTATCTGTTTATTTGTTTGACCTACACTTTTGGTATCCTGTTGTACTAGAATGTATGCATACTACACACAAATAAAAATTAATAAGTACATATTTTTCTATTCGGACAATTGATTTTCGAGTAGGTTTTGTTTATAAAATGTTTTCAATTTATATAATACGGTCAATTTAAACACGTGATTGAAATCTTGTAGTACAGTCGAAGCTAAGTCTAAAGCATTCTATCCGAACACAATATATCGTTAGTCACTTTGTTATGTATACTGTTCTAGTATAGTTTTGTACTGTTTCCAGTTAACTGTTACAGCATTACTCTACTGAAACTCTAATTAATTCTCCATGTTACAGTACTGGTATTTAGTTTGTAAGTGTTTGCATTTTCCCGTCTGTAATTCTAACAACTCCAATCGATCAGTGTCTATTGGCACATGTACATGCTGTGCGGATTGCCTCGATATTTCAATTAGCCACAAAACTTAATTTCTCATAAGATAACCTGTCGATGGTTGAAACAAATGGTAGTGAAAAGATGGATAGTGGCTAACAGTGAAATTCAGGACGCGCGTTTCGTCCTATTTGGGACTTGTAATCTGGATGTAACTGCATGCCAGAGTTGATATTCACTCTGAGACTCGAACCCAGTACCGTTCGCTTCAAACGCCATCGCGTTATCCATTTAGCTACTGAGTCCTGATAATAGCAATCTGAAGATAAAATTAAAACAACACTAAGTGAATTCAAATGGTACTGGGTTTAAATCTGGGTAGGAAATTGGAGATCGAAACGCAAGCATATTCATTTGATAAGTCCCTCCCTCCCCCCGAAAAAAAACGAAACGCTTTCTGGATTCCGATGCTACCTAGTCTGCAACTTTAACAAAAAAACTTTTATTTAATGTTATCAAATAGAACATATTCTCACACAATGCCTAAGTGTTTCCATAATTTATAGCTACCTACTGAAATTTTGAAAATATTCATTTCATGAGTTTATCATTCAAACTATGTTTTTTTTTGTTAAAGTGGCATCATAATGAAAATAAAAAAGTAAACATCAAGACATAAATTGCCTGACAACTACTATTCTTTTTTTATTCACTAGAATCTTGTGTTATCATTTTGTTGTTTTCACCACATTAAATCTAGTTTTTTTTAGTAATCGCTCAATCGTTCAGACTGGGACAAATTTGCGCTAGCCTAAGATACCATACCATGTCAGTACGACAAGATAAAATAAAGAAAAATGAGTAGCAAGGTAGTCGAAATAATCATAACCATGATTAGAAGGACTAAACATTAAGAATCCGGTTTAAGAAGAAAAAGTGAAAAAGTTAAACGAAGAAATACTGGAACTCAGAGTCGATATGAAGATGAAGAGTGAATACATCTGCACTACCGTAATTGATTCTGATCCATGTCATCTAACGTCTCCAAACACTGATTGCAGTTATCTTTCAGAACCCAACCAGGTAGTCTGCATCAACTAATATGACTCCGATCAACAATCGATGACGTAATGGATTGGTCCCACTTCATGGTTTCCCCACCCCTAACTCTTCCAAGTTAATTGTATTAAAGCCATTATTACATGTCGAGGTAGGAGGTGAGTGGGCATACGAAACACTTTTCCGGGACAAATCAGCCGATAAGAACTCAAAACCTCATCAATTGATTACCCATCTTTGCCTAGTACCTTGCATCTAACCTTATCAGTGTCCATCCGTTTCTTCCACAACACATGAGCAGTGTTTCGAAGAGACTTGTGATCAGAAACATTTGTCTTTTACCCTACTAAACTCTATCCTACATACATAAAGGAATACAGAATTATTTTCTGTGTAGTATACTCTTTGGTTAGTAGGTAGGCATCTCGCCTCCTACAGCTAATGTAATTTGACACAATCCAACCGAGATTTCTGAATTTTCTCCGTGATTTTTTCAGACAAGCCACTAAGAACCTGCTATCAAGGTTGATGAGACTTCCAAGACAATTGAAGTAATCATCACACTCAGCTACTTCACTTCTTATGATTAATCTAGGCGATGACGCAACTACTGATGAATTAAAACAACCGGCTTTCGATATATCTCAAACTCCCAACTTCCTGGAGTAATTGATCAATTTTGCAGAGATTTGGGGGGAAAATGCGCCAAAAAATTCCATTGGTCTGAGTTTTCTTAAAGATTTTCACTGACTGAGGAAATCTATATAGATCTCAGGTTTTTGAACCTAACTTCAACTACTTCGTTTCTGATGGCTGGTTAACGTATTTCTAGGATTCAGATGAAGATCAGGATTAAAACAGGGTACATGGGTGAATACTAGTACTTGGTAGATGAGTTACGGTGCCTCGAACACTACTACTGCAAATTTATATTGGACATCATTATTCATTACAAAATAATGTGTTTGTAACGGCTAGTTACACTACCTCTCTGGCCAAAGTAATCGAGATCAAAGCAGGATTCGAACCCATGACCTACTAGTTGAAAACGGAACCTATGAGCCACAACTTCACACATGGTCACACGTACTTTCTAACTTGAAAGTCTAGATATTGTCTCCATGTTTTAGTGTAAGCTTAGTTACTTGAGATGATATATAGTGAGCCTACGGTATACTATCGAGCCAGTCAGGATAGAGAAAGCAAATTCAAAGTCATAGCGCGTATGTCAATTTAGTATGACGTTTATCATACAAAGATGATGACTATCAACCGTATTAAAGTTAACTTCAATCAAGAAACTATAATTAATTGGGTTGAACTATATTATCAAGAATAAAACGTACAGTTGAGGGTTAGGGTTGAGGATTTAGAGTTAGATTTAAAATTACAGTAGGATAACCACATTCTTTACATTTTAATCTTAAATCATAACCCTAGTTTTAACGTTAATTCTAACATCCAAAGCCTAAATCCAAACCTTGAACTTCTATCGTAATCCTAAACTGTAATGAGTTAGAATCTATGGTAAACTTAGGAATTTCATTCATCATGTAAAAATAATAAATTCCGTGTAATTCCTTTCATTTCGTACAACAGATCGTCCATCGATTCTTTTTTAAAATATTTTCTACCTTTTGATTGGTTAAAACGGGTGAAATTAGATCTCAATTTTGTTCAACAGCATAATTTCGTTTTACTGTATATATTTGATGTTCACTTTCTTGTAACTTAGTCAATTGGAAATTTAATTTTTACACGGAAGGAAAATAATACAACACAAAATTTATCATCACAATGGGGGTTTTGTGGAGATTGTTGTAATTTAATAGTTGAATAAATCAGTGAGCCGGCATCCAACGGTGTTAATATCTAACTTCAACCGATTCACGAAATTGAGCTACTGTCCGCCATTGTCTTCAATGAGTCACTGACTCACAACAGACATGGTTAAACTCCACTGGTCACGGCTTCTCACTAGAACTCAAGGAAAT